GATTCAGGTCCCAACACACACTCTGAGCGTGCCAAGGCTCAGCCTAGCAACACCTGACTGTCACTCACTGCCCGAAGCTAACCAACCAAGACCTCACACTTGAAGAAGTTCCTGACCCTTTTGCCCAAGACTCCCTAGACCAGACCCCCTCTCGTTCCCTTGTCTCCACCTTGCCCCTTCAATCCCATTACAGCCCCTTCTGTAGCTTCTCTCCACCCAATGGGCCATACTGGGGCCTCAAGGCAGTGCGTCCCTCGTGGGTAATGGCTGCCTTCTGCCCACAGTTGGGGTGGAAGAGCAGGCGCTCAGGTTCCGCTTGGGCAGCAGGAGCAGTGCGGCGGAGAGCACCCTCAGGAGACAGCGCCCGCAGGATGGCATTGTTCCGGCGAAGACGGTCACTGTGGTTGTTATTGTGGACAATGGTCACCTTCACAGCCATCCCATACAAGTCCACCACACCATATACAACTGGAGGTGTCAATGGGGTAGCCACACCTGTGAGGGAGGAAAATGAGGTGAATAGTCAAAAAAGAAAGCAAGCACCAGAGAGGACAGAGGATAAAGTACAGATCTCACTGAGAGCCTCAGGCCAACAGCCTTCTCTGAATGTCCCCTTACCTTGATCAATGCCATTAATGAAAAAGTGTAGGGCAGAGTTGGATTTCCTTGTGAGACCAATATGGTCACCCTCCTAGTAGGAGCAGAAAAGTAGTTCAGTATGGAATCTAGCCACCGTCAGGCTCCAGAGCAGTCCCGGGGCCTTCCCCTATCTTGTCCCACAGAGGACCTGTTCCCAAAGGTGTTTATGTAAGTCTGAGACTAACCCAAATGACGGGTAGGGCATGACCCAGGTCCCTGTTTTCTAGACACGATAATGTCCACATTTCCTGAATGCTCAATGTATGTGCTCACTTTGGCAGCACATATAGTGAATGCTTAATGTAAGTTAGGCAATAACTTAAACCATCTTGTAAGCATCAACTTCCTTAAATCTATATAACTGCTACAAGGATTACATAGCATGTGTTAAGCCATAGGTTCAAACCTAAGCACGGGGTTGCGGGGAGCGATAAAAGTACTCCTAACAGACTCATTGTAGAGCCTGCTGTGGAACTCTGCCTTCTCAGAAAGAACCTCATGCAAAGACAAAGGATCTTGTGTTAAATCAGAGATCATTGCATGGCACCCAGGTAGAGACACAGAGTACCTAGGGCTCCTCTGAAATTGCTCCACCCTCACCTGTAGCTCATCCAGACTGAATTCACAATACTCCCGGCGGGTGCCCTTGCCATTGGTCAGGATCCCACAGCCACTCATCATGATGGTGCCTGAGCAAAGGTGGACACTTGCTTAGGATATGGTTTTCCTTCCCTTTAGCAACCCCAGGCTTGTGTCCTCACCCCTGCCTGGGACTGGTACCTGACTGGAGGTTGGTCATGGTGGCTGGGTACTCCAGGTTGTTAGGGTTGTGGGTAGTGACACCAATCTCGATGGAGCCTGACCACTTATCTACAAGCTTGTCAATGCGGATCTGAGGTTAAATGACAGCAAGTAAATGAACAGGGAACTTAAGTGCAGAGAAGGGACCCTTACTCAGCCTTTCTTCCCCAGGTCCTACCCTCCTGTCATCCACCAAGGATTGAGCCTCATCTTTAGCTCCCAAAAGGTGAGCCAGTCAGATCTCAGGGTCTTGCCTACCTCAAACATCTCATTGTCCCGAAGTGGGCGGTTGGTCATGACAACTCCATTGTTGAATTCATCCAGCGGCCTCCGGCGCTCAGCTGTCTTATTATTGTTGCTGAGTTTGATAAGGGTCCCACACTTCTCATGAAAGAGCAGGGCATCATTGGAAGTGAGGATGGGTGAAGTGGCAGTACCGCTAGATCCCTGCCCATCCCCTGCTGGTGGGGAGCTCAGGTTCACATTCAAGAGCCCCCCATTGTAGGCAGACAGGATGGCATTGCTCACCACCTCAGAGAGCTCCATGCTGGCAAAGTCTACAACAGTAGGACAAAGAAAGGAAACCAAGATAAGGCTCTACACCTCTGGCTTGGCACCCTCTCTCCCTAACCTCTCCTGAAGTCCTCCCCTTGTCCACCTCACTGCCCGAGCCCCTTCCCAGAGCCTCCCCAAAGCCCTCACCATTATGTGACTCAAGGCTGTTAGGAAACGTCTCCAGCTGGGCCTGCACTGAGGACACCATGAAGGCTGGGACCAGATGGGACGGGAGGGGAATAGGGGTGTAGCCCCGGCTTCAGCCACAGCCAGACCTTTTCCTCTAGCCTCTGTTCTCCCTGGCAATAGACTCAGGGGTCTGAACGGCCCCACCTTCCCAGGCCAGATCTTCACCTTTGCCATTTCTTCAGCTACCCTCCCTGCCCCATCCCTCCACCAAGGCCCTAGCTGTGTTCTCACCTTCATCCCCAGAGGTCCCCTGTTCGGCCAAGGCGGAATCTTCAGGAGGTGCTGAGGGCTCGAGGGGAGTTGAGGGGATGGGAGTAGGGGGACTGAAGCCTGGCTCAGCAGGGAGCACAGTGATCTGGGTGCACTTGCCATAGAGGTCCACAACAGCCCAGACACGAGCAGGCAGGCCGGTAGCAGCCACACCACAGTCCCGCCCATTCACCCAGAGCCGCAGCTCCCCAGCAGCTGTTCTCTCCACGCCCACTCGGTCCCCTTCGCCAAGCTGGTCCAGGTCCTGTCCATACTCCTCGAGCACAGAGCGGCCATCCTTCAGCACCGAGCAGCCCGACACTACCCATGAGCCCCCCTTTAACCCTGTGGCACTGCTTGGGAAGTCCAGCACACCGGGATCCAACGCGGTCACCCCAATCTCAATGGAGCCACTCCAGGAGTTGACCTATGTTAGGGGTGGTGGGCAGAAAGAGTCAGGATGGACCATCATTGGGGTCTCCCATGACTAGGAAACTACATTCCACATGCCACTGTCACCACCTCTTAGGCACTACCTAGAAATGCGGATCCACAAGTCATTTTCTAGACCCCACCTAGGCAATTATTAGGCCCCACTGTCCCCTATCAAGTCTGCACTGTATTCAGGTACTCAGCGGTTACCACACTACTCTTTTCCCCACCAAGCAGGTTGAACTCTCTTGTTCCAGCTTCCTATCTCTTCCAATCTTCCATACTTTCTGTGGCTCTTCAACCATCTCAGTGCACACACTTTATATGCCACACTGCTTTCTATAGTCTATCATTCTCTTCCCCCAGTGCAACTCTCTCCTAGGTTCAGACTCCACCCAGATTCACTCTTCTCCCAAATTCCTTCTCTGTGAGCCAAGTCATACACACACCTCTCTTTCCCTACGTATTGCAGCTCATCCACCTTTGTGGCTCTACCTGAGAGTATGTCCTTCAATGGTTTGTTCTTTCCTCTGTATCTCTCCTCTTTTCTTAACACATCTGGCATCACCTCCATCCCCAACAAACTGCACCAAGAGGCACATTCCCCAGCTGTTCTAGTGGATGGGCCCCCGTGTCCCTTTCTGCTTCTGAGTTTTTCGGAAACTCGGGCTCTCCCTGTCTCCTCCTTCGGATTGAATGTTTTGAATCATTTTCTTTTTGCCCACGCCTTCGTGCCCTACAGTTTGTCGATTCCCTTACAGAAGCCGGTGGTGTGAGATTTCTAGCTGCCCTACCTACCGCATTTCCCTCTGGCTCCCTCCCACTACCCTCCACATTTTAGTTCCGCTGGCCCAGCCCTGCACCTTGCGGTCGATGCGGACGGTGAAGACGCGTCCATCGCGCAAGGGTTCCCGGCTCAACACCAGCCCATGGTTAAACTCCTGGCCTGGCTGCTGCCGCCGCGCTGTACGCCCACAGGCCGACAGGCTCACCAAGCGCCCAGTGCGCGGGTGCAGCTCCCCAACGCTGCCGAGACCCCCGCTGGACCCCGGTCCGGGGCCGCTGCCGCCAGGGCCCCCACCCCCGCCTGGCCCTGGCCCGGGGCCTCCCCCAGACCCCCCACTCCCACCCGACCCCGCCGCCATCGCCGCTGACACCGGGGCCGCGCGACAGCCGCGCTTGGCGGCACCGTGGCAACCGCGGAGGACAGACACCCTGAGGGAATAGACCGGGGGCTGGGACCAGATATGCTTTACGGCAGAGCCGGGCAATGAAGCATCCCGGGTTAGGGAACTAATGACTACCACGGTGGGAACAGAAGGACGACGGGGTTGGGAAGGCTTGCTTTACGGCAAGGCCAGATGAAGGCGTGGTTCTGAAGGGAAAAGTTGGGCAGGGAGCTTTTGCGACAGAGGAAGGAACGCCTGCGGAAGGCATCTTCACGACAGGCGAGTGCAAGCGCCCCAACACGCTTTGCGACAGCGACGCCTGCGATCCCGCCCCCACCAGAGGAAGCGACACAGTAAAGTGTTCGCTTTACGGCAAGGACAGGCGTCTTTTCTTCGCGCCACACACTTTAGATCAGTATCAAGTGGGGTCTGGAAGGTGCAAAGAAGAGAGCTTTGTAAATGAGCTTCTGTCCCATGCCACTGAGATCGGAAATGTCGCAATACCCCCCCCCCGACACACCTACACTTTGCTTCGTAGCTCTCCCAAGAGGTATAGAGCCAATTTGCGAGACAGGATGGAAGCTTGTGGATTCAAGTCAAACCCATCTTAGATGACAGTTCAACCAAACTCTTTAAACTTTAAAACCACAAATGAGAGCCGGGCGTCGTGGTGCACGCCTGTAATCCCAGATTTGGGAAGCTGAGACAGTAAAAACGGCCCGAGTTCGAAGTCAGCCTGCACTACACAACAAGGCCAGCCTCAACTACATAGCAAGACGCTCTCTCAAAAAAATTTTAAAAATAAAAAAAAAATAAAATAAAGCCACAAATGAAGTCCGCAAATGCGGAAAGCAGTTTCAAGTAACAGCGCTGATGACCCGCAGAGGAAACCCCCAGAGCTAATCCTAAATCCAACTTTCCTGTGCTTGCTCTAAACTCGGAGAGATATGACGTCACAATCAAGGCTTTTCCACCTACCCTCTGCCCGGGGCCAGGCCTTCTGGCTATGATTGGCTGATTTGTACGATAGTGGTGATGGAGAAGGGCGGGAACGAATCGCCAAGACAAAGAAAGTCAGTCCTTAGGTGGAACAAAAACGGGAGGGCTGGGCCGAGGATATAGCTCAGGGGCACAAGCGCCTGCCTGACAAGCGCGAGGTCCCGAGTTCGATTCTCGGTACCCCCCAACCCCAAAAAAAGGAAAAAAGGAAGGGCGAGCGGCAGGAGCTCCTAGGCTAAAATCCCTATACAGTCTTGATTACGCCCACCGCCGCTCCGGGGAGCAGGAGGGCCGGAAACCCGCCTCAACCCAAGGCTTCCCCAGACCTCTACGGCGGGGGCGGGGTCCAGGGGCGGGGTTATGTGGAGCAGGAAGGCGGGGGCGGGGTAGCAGAGAGTGGCCCCTGGGTGGGGCTATGGAGAGGCAGGGAGCTGCCAGCGGCCCTCGGAGGGAATGCCCTAGAGGGGCAACCAGGGGAGTACCTGGGGGGGTCGGAGGAACAGTAACAGACACCACGCCGCCCTCCGGAGTACTCTTGTTTCAAGGCTCGGGACCCCCCTTGCACTCCGGGGGTACCATAATTCACAGTCCTGGTTCAAACCGGGCTTCCCAGGGGGCAGTGACCCTTCCTGGTAGGCCCAGTCAGCACCCTAGGGAGTTTGGATCCAGCACATCCCCTGGTGAATTCAACACTCCTCACCCTGGAACCAGTGTAACCGCAGCGTCCAGTCCTGGGCTTGGGGATCCTACGGTGAACAGTTCGGGGCTCAGTCTGAGCTCCGAGTCAACTTCCCTCCACCCCTACAACTCCTGTGAGGACCAGCCCCGGAGCATCTTGAGGAGAGGCAACATCTTGCAGGAGAAATCCCCCTGTATGGAGAAGTAAGGGGCCCAGCTTTGCTTGCAGACTAGAGGGAGGAGTTAGGCACACAGGAGGGACTGAGCCGAGGGGAAGTGGCAGAGACTAACTAGGTATGAAAGTAGGTGGGGGCAGTTGGGTGGAAAATACTATGTCCAATATTAGCTTTCAGGCCTTCGACAGAACAACAGGTGCTCACATAGTAACATGGTTATCATTGGGTCTGACCTCTACAAGAAGGTAGAAGAGTTCCTTAAATGACCGGAAGAATGAGGGAAGCCTGTGAAGAGGGGATCATTAGGCATTTCCCACCTTCTCTGTGTCCTTTTCCCACCCCAGGAAGAAGTCTCAGCACTGGGATGAGATGAATATCCTGGCCACTCACCATCCTGCTGATAAGGACTATGGTTTTATGAAGGTGGACGAGCCCGGCACCCCTTACCACAGGTGCCAAGCCTTTCAGCCTAGGCTCTGTTCTCTGTTCTAACAAGGGACCAAGGGAAGAGGCAGAGAAGCCTCATGCCCACCTCCCAGCACTGTTTTTTCCTCTGCAGACCACAAGACAGTGATGAGGACCTGACTGCGGGGTCTTCCCATAAGGTGACCCCTGAAGTGCTGGCGGAGAGGTGAGAGTCCTGTCAGATCCTTTGGGGTTTTGCTTCTTTACTACTTCTCACCTCTGGACTTCAGTCTGAGGCAGTTCTGCTTTTTGGCTCCAAAATAGGAAGTACTACACTTCCCATCAGGCCTGACCAAGACCAGTCTAGTGGGGTCAGCCAGGTGGGTCCCATCTACCACCTGCCCCCATTGTTCTTTTCTCCTTTCGATGCCCCCAACTAGTCTCCCTCCTCTTCAGGTTTGCAACAATGGACAGTTTCCTCCCCAAGGTCCTCCAGAACAGTGGTAACAGAAGCTCAAGAGCTGCGGACCACTTTTCCAAGACATGTGAGATACGGGGTGGGCATGAATGGAAAGGGGAGGTGGAATGAACCTTTGCCAAGTTCTCTGTGGGAAAACCAAGTTCTCACAACTGGCCTGCAGACTCCAGTGATTTTTACAAGAACCGTAAGAGACACTACGACGAAGGAAAATTCCTCAGGCCTCCAAACAACATGCTCTTGTGTGATGACAAGGACAGCCACGGGGGCTGTGCCAGCATCAGCAGCGGTGGTCAAGGTGTAATGATGGCCCAGGTGCCCAGGCCCATGGAGAGAGGCTGGCCAGGAGCACTGGCTGGAGCTGTCAAAGGTGAGGATCCTCACGTGACTGTGAGTGATGTTGTAAAAGCCACAGGTTAGTAACAATGGGGAGGGGAGCCTTCCCAGAACTCAAGGGAGGTGTAGTTCAGAGCTTATTCCAGAGCCCACGGTGCTCTTGAAGTTTCTGTTCCTCACTTCTGCACCACAGTCTGTCTTCTTCAGTGGGTGTCAGCCTACAGCCCTGATGCCTGACATGGAGGCAGTGCTCGGAGGTGACTCCAGGGTTACAGGAGGCTCTGGAGTGAAGTCCCCAGAGAACACTGGTTGGTGAGGAATAGAAAATCCAAGAGGGATAGAGGGGTTTTTGAAAGTTTTCTAAAACAAGGCAGGGATGGTTAAGAGAAGTAAATGAGGCTGGCTGTGGAGGTGCATGTCTGTCATCCTAGTACTTGGGTTGCTAAAGAAGGAGGATCTCTGTGACTTTGAGGCCACCCTGGCTACATAGTGAGAACCTGTCTCAAGAAAACAAAGAGACTCAGCGGCAAAAGCGCCTGCCTGGCAGGCGCAAGGTCATGAGTTCGGTTCCCGGTACCAGAGAAAAACCAAAAAAAAGAAAACAAAGAGAAAGCGGGGCATGGTGGTGCACACCTGTAACCCCAGCACTCTGGAGGCCGAGCCAGGAGGATCATTGCAAGTTTGAGGCCAATCTGGGCTACAAAATGAGCTCAAGGCCAGCCTGAACTGCATAATGAGACCCTATCTTAAAAGGCAAAAAAAAAACAAAAAACAAAAAAACAAAAACACACACACACACACACACAAAAACACACCAAAAAAAACCAAACCAGAGAAAGAGACAGACAGACAGAGAGAGAGAGAGAAAGTAAATGAGATGAAAACCTAAAACTGAGCTTTTCTTCTCTGGTGGGAGCCCACTAGACACTCCTGAAGCCCTGGGCACACCAGGTAGCCACAGATGGATTGCTTTGGATGATTCCTCAGATTGCACTACCTGCAAAAATCAATTCTGCCCAGGAAAAAACCCCATCCTGTTGGAGACGGAGCTTGATGAGCAACGCAAGGAATATTACAACAAAGGAGTATACCTGAGGTCCTGCTCCCACCCAGAACTTGAAGACTCAGAAGATGAGCAGCAGAACAGTGAGAGCCAGGGCATGTGGTCTGGGGAGTGGGAGGGCTGAAAACCACCACCGGCTGGGAGCCACGACCCTCATCCCATTATACTTAGGCTTGATCTAGGTCATTGAGAATCCCATAACCACTGAGGTTCATCTATTAGACCACATGGTGGGCCCCTATATGGATCACAAGGCCACTGAGGCCTCCTTAACTATGACTGTGACACCATTATAACCTGGTTAAGGCATCAAGCCACCATCTCCCCTAGGCCTGTATTTTCACAAGCTCCCATCTCTCAGCTTCCCAGTCCGCTTAGGCCTGTACAGCAGTAACAGGTGGTAAGTGTGGTCTTAAACATCCCCAAGTTCAAGGCCCATATTATTCAGGAAAGCAACCAGGGAGGCTCCTAAGGGGTTGAGGCACCTCTGGCTTGACATCACCCACAGGCTGTATGCCTTCTTCTTGACTCCTCTCTGCCACCCACCCACCTCTAGGTGCTACCATGTCCTCCAGTGACAATAGGTCTCAGGTGGTGTCCAGCTGGTATCACTGGCTGGAGGCCAAGGAGCCGAGCCGCCCAAACCCAGAGAACTCAGAGAGGGAGCGTGGAAGCAGCCAGAACCCACCAAGCTGGAACAGGCGCACATGTGAGTCTGGGAAGAGGTAAGCAGTGCCTCCAGGAAGGCAGAGGGGCTGAGTTCACAGGCTCTAGGGAGTCTGGAGGTCATATGCAAGAAAGCCACTAACCCGACCTCTTCTCTAGATGAAGCTCACAGCTCCAATGGACTCAGGAAGAGGAAACCAGACAATGGAAAACATAGCCAGCTGGGGTGGGGTAAAGGCAACTTTCCCCTGCCCTTACAACCCTAGGGGTGGACAATAAAGATAAGAGCAGGAATCTGGTTGCTGCGAATTGGCTGTCCGGGCTGGTCCTGCTGGGTTGGTCCTGCTGGGTCATGCATTGGAGGGGTGGGAGGAATGTTTACGCATAGGAAACCCAGAGAGCCACCAGAGAGCAGGAAGCTGGGAGCAGCTCAGGAACTAGTTTGAACAAGATCCTAGGGTCTTGAAACAATCCAAGCCAAGGCAGGATGACAATGACTGATACAATTAATTTTGTTAATCATAAATTTATGAGTAGCATTTTCTTTTCTTTTTTCTGTTTTGTTTTTTTTTTTTTGTTTGGTTTGGTTTGGTTTGGTTTGTTCATTTCTTTGAGACAGGGCCTTGCTGTGTAGTCCAGGCTGGCCTTGAACTCGCTGGGATCCTCTTGCCTCTGCCTCACCGGTGCTAGGATTATAGCTCTGCACCACCACGCCAGTCATCTTTCATTCTTATAATAACCCTGGGAAGGAGGGACTTCCATCTCCATCTTCCAGATGAGGAAACTGGGAGATCAGACACAGAACTGCTAAGTGACAGAGCTAGGATTTGAACCTAGATCATCAAGTCCCCAAAACTCAATTACAAAAGGAGAAAGAAGCAGAGACAGACCAGGGTCCGTAGGAGGAAGGTGACAGCAGATAGTCTCTGGGGGCGGGGCTGTGGCTTCTCTGATCTCAGGCCCCTCTCCGCAACCCAGGCCCCACCCCTACCCCTCCCAGCACTGCCTGGAAGTGTGGGGCGAGAGCTTCTGCTAGGACACCCCTTTTTCTTGGGGAAAGGATTCCATCCCCACAGGTCTTACGCAGCAGAAGACTTTCTCTTTCCTCGTCCACGGGCCCTCCTGGGGCAGGGAGTGCCTCCAACATCCCCACCTGCCTGCCTCCAGGGCACCCGGCCCCACAGTAATCAAGCTAAAATGACCATCAAGTTGGATTTCGAAGAGTGTCTTAAGGACTCACCCCGCTTCCGGTAAGTGTGCACAAGTCTGGGGGTGCTAAGAAGGAGAAGATCCAACATTTCTTAATATATAACACAGACACAGCTCTTCCCGGGCTATGCTTCCCTCCAGGGAATAGGCCTCCAAGGGACAAGATGGAGCTGGTGGGGCAAAATGGTATCTCTGTTATCAGCCTGGGGTCCTCCTATCTCTACTCCCTCCAAACTTCTGACTTCTCTAATCCCCCTTCACCAACAACAGGCGTTGCCTCCTCCCTCCCTGGGACCCCTGCCCCTCCCCCAGCACCTGCTCTGGGGCGCTTAGCAACTTCCTGTTCTCACCACATCCACCCTCCTCCTCCTCCTCCTCTTCCTGCCCTGGCCTGGACTGTAATGAGTGGCTTAGACTGCGCAGAGTGAGTGACACGAGCGGGCAGGTGGCTGGCCCACTGTAGCCCCAGCAGTCTTCTCTGTACCCATCGTCCCACAACCCCAACCCTGACCCTGATGAGGCAGGCAGGCTTGGTGGAGCCAAGCTCTTTTCCCATGACCTTTCCCTCCTTTCCCAGAGCCTCTATTGAGTTGGTGGAAGCTGAAGTGTCAGAATTGGAGACTCGTCTGGAGAAGGTGACCCTGACATGGAGAGATGAGCCAGGAGCAGATTAAGATAAGGGTCATACCAGGGAGAAAGTTGGAGACTGAGAATGACTTCCAGGGTTACTGAATGCTCACTGTATAGCGTAGTTATTTGGGGCCTCCAGAGAAGCAAAATTGGTGTTCTGTGCCTGCAAGGAGCTTAGGATCTTGGAAAACTAGACTTACTTTTGGACCTACTACTCTGCTGAGTCCTTGTATTGTGCCCTGCCATGGGCATTCACAGAAAACAGGACCATTTCTGCCCCACTGAGTCCACAGACTGTCTGTGGAAGTCAAACCGGTGACACATTTAAACATAAAACAAGCCAGGCGTGGTGGCGCATGCCTGTAATCCTAGCATTCGGGAGGCTGAGGCAGGAGGATCATTGCAAGTTTGAGACAGCCTGGGCTATAAAGTGAGCTCAAGGCCAGCCTGAACTGCACAGTGAGACCCTGTCTCAAAAAGAATAAACAAAAGATGATAAGGTCTGTCCTGATCACTCTTGATAAAACTGCACATAATAGGTGCGCGTACACACACGTACACACACACACTCCCATCCCTCTTACTCGGCTTTTTTTTGTGTGTAGCATTTACCTCTATCTTACATGATATTTACTTCCTGTCAGCTTACTTACCTGCCTTTTCTTTCTCTTTCATTCTTTCTTCCTTTCTTAATTTCTTTTTCTCTCTCTCCCTCTCTCTCTGTCCCTCCCTCCCTCCCTCCTCTCTCTTTCTCCTACTGTTTGTTCGATTTTTGTGTGTGGTACTGGGGATTGAACCCAGGGCCTTGTGCATGCAAGGCAGGAGGAGCTCTATCACTGAGCCATATCCCCAGACCCTCTCTTTCTCTCTTTCTTTCTTCCTTCTTTCTTTTTCTTTCTTTCTTTCTTTCTTTCTTTCTTTCTTTCTTTCTTTCTTTCTTTCTTTCTTTCTTTCTTTCTCTCTCTCTCTCTTTTTCTCTTTCTCTCTTTCTTTTCTTCCTTCCTCCTTCCTTCCCTCCCTCCTTCCTTCTCTCCTTTCTTTCTTTCATTCATTCATTCATTCTTTCTTTCTTTTTCTTTCTTTCATTTTTTCTTTGTCCAGTACTGGTATTCACATTGAGCTCTGTCCTCAGCCTTGTTTATTTATTGAAACAGAGTCTCACTATGTAGTTCAGGCTGGCCTTGAACTCACTATATGGCCCAGGCTTAAACTCGAAGCAGTCCTCCTGCTTCAGCCTCCCAGAGTGCTGGGATTCCAAGCATGCCCTATACTATGCCTGGCCTATTTTTTAGTTTGGGAGAAAGTCTCACTAAATTTCTGAGTTGCCCAGATTGGGCTCAAACTTGCAATCTTTTTGCCTCAACTTCCCACAGTACTGGGATTAGAGGTGTATGCCACCATGCCCAGCTTTCTGTGTTAGTTTTCTATTGCTGCTTAACAAATTATCACAAATTTAATGGCTTGAAACAATATGCATTTGTTAGAGCTGTGAGTCAGGGCTCCAGGCAAGGTTTAACTGCTCCTCTGCTTGGATCTCCTAGACTGTAGTCAAGTTCTTGGCTGAGGTTGTAGTCTCATCTGTGGCTTGGAATTTTCATCTGAGCTCGTGTGATTGTTTAAAGAACTCAGCTCCTTGCTGTCGTGGAAATGAGGCCCTCATCCTCTAGGGGCTGCCCACCGTTCCCCACCACGTAGCCCTGTCCATTGGCATGGAGCATCAGAAAGGCGTACTGCTGCTTCAGGCCTTCCCTCTCAAGGCCAAGAAGGAAGTCCTGAGTGTGCTAGTGTGATTTTACCATGTATGTTATGATTACACACATCATAAAAGAATCACAGGGATGCCATTTATCACTTTTGATTCTCAGTTGGGAGTGCTGTTGCATTTCCTTTGCCATATTCTATTCGAAGCAAGTCATGTCACGGCCTTGCTCAGACTGAAGGGTGGGGATTATACAATGCATAAAAAATTGAGGGCCGCCCTGGGGTGTGCCTGTCATACTTGCCTATTTCTTGTGTGTTTTCCCCCACTAGAATGGAAGTTCCATGAGAGGCCTTATATTTTATTTTTGCACAACCCCCCACCTGAAAGCTAGTGGGTGAACAAGTAATATATTTTCCCTTTCTTTCCTTCCTTCCTCCCTCTCTCCCTCCCTCTCCCTTCCTCTATCTTTTCTTTTCTTTCTTTAACACAAGATTTGGCTGTTTTGTCCAGCCCCTGGGCTCAAGCAATTCCCTGGCTTAGCCTCCCCAGTGGATGGCACATACAGGCACATGCCGCTACATTCCTTTATTTATATGATTGTTTATTTGCAGTGCTGGAGCTTTAACTCAGGGCTTTACATATGCTAAGTAAGAGTTGGTCACTGATCTACACCCCCAGCCAATCATTTATATTTTAACTAATTTCTTCTGAGACAGGGCCATGATGTGTAGTTCAGGCTAACCTTGAACTCACTATGTAGTCCAGGCTGGTTTGAACTCCTGACAACCCTCTTGCCTCAGCCTCCCAATTGCTGGGATTCTAGGTATGGACCTCCACACCTTTTTTATTTTGACTGAATTATAGGGTCACAGAATAGGAAGAAGAGGGCCCAGGTGTCTATTACCCAGCTTCCCCCAGTAGTGGCATCTGACATAATTCCACTACATTATCAAATCTGAAATATAATCTTGGCATAGTACAATTAAAGTCTACAGACCTTACTCAGATTTTATGTTTGCATGTACCTTTTTTTTGGGGGGGGCGCATGTCTGTGTGTATAATTCTATGACACTTGATCCCACATGTGACCATCTCCACATTGAGTTATGAAAATTCTGTTGCTACCAGGCCTGTGATCTCAGCACTTAGGAGGCTGAGGCAGGAGGATTGTTGTGAGTTGGAGCCCAGCCTGGGCTATGTAAGCGAGTTCAAAGCCAGCCTTCACTTCATATCAAGACCCTGTCAAAACGAAACAAACAAACAAAACTTCTTTTGCCACCTATGTGCCATTCCTTTATAGTGATACCCTCTTTATTCCCTTCTCTAACCCATGGAAACCATTGGTTTGTGTCTTT